CTGTTTCATACCAACGCGATGAACAACACCAGATGCCAGCAATCAGCAGACCAAATATAGAAGGAAATGGCCCATAGCTCCTCCGAAACACACCCGAGACCCCTGGAACCCTGTCGAAACATACCAACAAGTTGTATAACATAACATGGACCTGCTCGGGGCCTCAAATCACATCAAACAATATCAAAACTTTGAATCGCACCTCGAATCGAACTTAATGAATTTATGAACTTTCAATTTCTATAACTCGCGCCAAATCATATCAAATCAACCCAGAATAACGTCAAATTTTGCATGCAAGTTCCAATTGACAAAATAGAGCTATACCAACTCCCGAAATCAAATTTCGAACCCGATATTAATAAAGTCAACTCCCATTCAAACCTCTCAACCTTCCAAACCTTCAACTTTCCAATTTTTGCCAAAATGCATCAAATCAACCTACGGACTTCCAAATCCAAATCCCGACACACGTCTAAATCCAAAATCATCATACGGAACTAGTGGAATCATCAAGATATCATTCTGGAGTCGTCTATACAAAAGTCAATCTCCACTCAACTCTTACTGCTTAAGCTTCTAAAACAAGAATTAATCTTCCAAATCAGATCCCGAATCATCCGAGAAACTGAACTCGACCACACACACAAGTCATAACACATAATACGAAGCTTCTCGAGACCTTAAGCCACCAAACATGACACAAATCTTCAAGACGATCGATCGGGTCGTTACAGTTCAAATGAGTTGGGCATAGTGATGGTGGTGAGAAGTTTTATAGTGTGCCTCACACAACTGACATTAGTTGTGTGACACATTTTTTTATCTTATAAATTTATGAATATGTGTCTTACATATTCGGATCCATAAAATTATGAGACAAAAAAAAGGCCTCATACAACTAGTGTCAGTTGTGTGAGGCACAAAATAAATTTTTTCCTCCATTCATATCTGAAGCGGCCCTAACACTCCTTTGGAAATACGTAACTAATCTTGTAACAAGAGGTATTTTACATAATAGTGTTAAATTTTCTTTTCTTTTTTCGCTTTTTTTCTCAATTCATCTTAGGTGTGTCAATGGATATTTAAAAATCGACTAAACCGACCGAACCGTACCGTACCGAACCGATTTTTAGGTTTCTTTTAATGAAACCGTAGGTTTTTATATAAATCTATAACCGAACCGATAATTAGGGTAGGTTTTTTATTTTATAAAATAAATCAAAAAATACCCAACCGTACCGAATAAATTTACAATGTGAGAAATATATTTATATATTAAGTTTAAAATTAATATAGCATTAAATTTTTTCTTGGGTATTGGAATTATGAAATAGTTACAAGCCAACAAGTAATTAAACTTAAAATTCTAATTCCCAAACCTATTATGCTACTCCTACTGAAACTAAATTATTTTCAGCATATTCACTAGCAAAACACAAGGTATTGTAGCGATTATGAGTAGCAAACTACAATGTATTGAATATGTTTCCTTTCGTATGATTTAGATTTATCTTTTTGAATATTTGATCTTCGATAGACTTTATTCTTAAGACCCAGCTTGGTGAATATCTTTCCACTCATGTAATTTTTTTTTTTGTATTTGCTTAGTTTCTTTTACGCTGATTTAGAATAGTTGATGGATCTATACTCTACCATCTTTTATATTTTATTAATTTATCACCTTTTGAACTGTAAATATGTCTAGAGAGTTTTGCTAAGTCCTATAAAAGTACGTATGTTATTGCATTCTACTTCTACTAGTGATTTTTACATGACATTTAAAAAAAATTATCGAATATTTACCGAACCGTACTGATACCGAAGAGAAACCGACATGATTGGGACGGTTCCGAAAAATCTAATTTTGGTTATACATAATAGAATAACCGAAAAATTGGTATGATACAAATTTTATAAAATAACCGGCCGAACCGAACCATTGATACCCCTAAATTTCATCTCTCACATTTCTTTCCTCTCAAGTACTACCACCGCAATATTTTTTTATTTTGTGCCTCACATAACCAACACTAGTTGTATGAGGCCTTTTCTTTCTCATAATTTTGTGGACCCAAAAATATAAGGGAAAGATACTGGGCTTTTAAGGGGACTGGGTACAGGGAAGGTATGGCAGGGGTGGGGGGGGGTACCTTATGGAGATTTTTGTTAAGGGAATTTAAGGGTATATGGTAAGGGTACTTTTATAGGTACCTTACTAGTACCCCTACCGGTCCTAAGGAGATCGATACTTAAGGGGGCGGCACAGGTACTTAGGGGTATTTCTAAATTAAAAAACTTAAAAAAAATATTATATTTAAATACAAACAAACTTTAATGGGTGAAAACCATTCAGTATTTTTATTTTAATACCTATAAAAATAAAATTACATATATTTTTTAACGATTTACGGAAATTTTAAATAACTTTAATTGGTTCTTCACTTGAAATTGATAGCACTTAATTTTTTTGCGTCCTCGCTGTCTCCGGTAGATAGTATTTCATTATAGATATCGCCGTCTTCTTGAATTATTTTTGGAAGATCAATGTTTCTTCTCTTCCAGTATTTCAGTAAGTCTTCATTTCCTTCATCATTGCAAATATTGTTTCTAATAGTTATTCAAGAAAAAGCTTGAAAAGCAGAATAATACGTTGCTCGTGTGTAACGCCTAAACCGAGAATGGTTAGGATTTATTTCAAAACGAGGACCCCTCTCCTTAGCATTATCCTTAGTCAATCTAAACATGCTTTTTACCAGTTTAGGAGCCATTTTTAATGATAAATAATTAAAATTACAACAAATAGCAACACAAGTATAACAATAAATAAACGCGAAAATTAATAATAATGATAGAACATTAATTACAATTAGAGTTAGAGAGCGATAGAGAATTAGAGAGATATGAGAGCTTTGTGTGAAAATTGAAAGAATAACATAGAATATTTATAGCTCTAAAATATGACCAAAGTGTATTTGAACAAATTTTGAGATTAAAAAATATAAATTAGGGAGTAGGAGGTTGTTAGGGGGCTAGAGAGGCAAATAGCCGTTTTTGGCCGTTCCAAAAAATAACCGTTTGGTTAACGGTACAAAAACGACTTCATTTAAAAAAAAAACTTAAGGGTACCGGTTCGGTACCTGAAGGGTACCAACCGGACTGATTCTACCGGTACTCTCCCAGTCCCCTTACCCTTTACCCAACTCCCCTTCCCCTACCCTCAATCTGGATTGATACGGTGCGGTACTGGTACCGATACTGGTTTGGGGAATACTCTTCCTTTAGACAACCCTCATATAAGTTCATAAATTTATGAGATAAAAAAGGCCTCACATAACTATGTCAGTTGGGTGAGGTACACCGTAAAACTTGCGGTCAGTCACAAAATTTAAATGTGAGATTTTCCGATGTGAGTTTAAAATATACTACCATAAATTCTTGAATAGATAGTACTTTTAAGCAAACATGTTATACTTTCAAGATATGTATCTAACAATCCAATCTTGTGATCTTTACCTATCATTTTAAAAAGGCAAAATACATAGTTTATCCATCCACCTTGCACCCAAATTTCTGTTACACCTGTTGACTACATATTTAATTTTACACACCAAACCTTTCAAATGTGTGTCAATTACACACTACTTTTGACCAGCCTAGTTAATATTCAATGTTGTGTGTAAACGCGCATCTCTGAATTAAAAAGCACCCTATTAAGCAACTGACAATTTTACAGAACCGACCCGCTCAAATAAAAAACACCCAACAATCAGTGCACCACCTTCCCCACCATTGCAACGCCTTCTACACCGTTGCAACCCTTCTTCTTTGTACCACAAAACTACTAGCTGAAACACCCAAATAGATACACAGAAACATCATACTCAAAAAATTTCACCCGTCGGAATTTCGCCTGAAACTCCACCTTCGACCATCCCTTTTCTTTCTGTCATTATTTTTTCCTTTCACAAAGCTAGAATGATGAGCCAAAAAAAAAAATAACGAAAAGGAAAATTTTAGTTCTTTTGTTGGCAAAATTAAAAGAACCACAAAGGCCACTCTGTCAACAAACTTCCAAAATAAGAAATTGAAAACTTAAATTCAAACAAAATGGTTGAATTGTTTAGGAGAAATTTCAAATCTTGAGCAACAACAAAAAAAAAAAAAGCAAAATGGGAGAAGGTTGTCAGGGAAGAACACGAAATAGGGGGAGATGAAACCGGAAGGGGAAGAGTTTTTTGTGTGGAGTTTGTTGGGGGGGGGGAGGGGGGAGGAGAGGGGGGATGACATAGATTGGGGAAGGGGATTGGGCCGGGGAAGAAGCCAAGAGAGGGAAGGGTTATTTTTCCCTTTTTATTTATTTGTTAATTGGTGTAAAAAGGAAAAAACTTAAAAGTTAGACACTTGATTCTTTATAAAACTCGTGACATGAAAGTTTTATCATTCACGCGCTTGTTTTATGTGTGTAACACGCTGGTGACACATAGCTAAAGTAGCGTGCAATTGACACATATTTGAAAGGTTTGGTGTGTAAAATTAAACCCTTGGTCAACAGGTGTGTAATAGGGATTTGGGTTGCAAGGTGGATGGGTAACCCGTTTGGACATAATTTTTTTTTTTACTTTTTTCTAAAATTTTTTTACTTTTTTTCGAAATCAGGGTTTGTTCATAAAATTTTTAATTTTCACTTGAAGATGCATTTTGGAAATTTTCGAAAATTTGAAAAACTCCAAAAAGCTGTTTTTCAAAATTTTCACTCAAATCACTCAAAAAACTTCAAAAACAACCTAAACTAAAATTTATGTCCAAACACAACTCTAAATTTCAAATACCATTTCACTTGAAATTTTTTTTCACAATTTTTTAGAATTGTACAATTCTCATGTACAAACGCCTACTATGTATTTTGCCTTTTAAAAAAACAAAAGTGAACCCGCTTACCCATCACGTTTTATTGGGGTCGGGTCTAACAACTATGATCAATGATCAGTACACCTCGGGAAAAGCAATATTTAGTCAGCCATCAGTCTTGTTCTACCTCATCCTAAAAGCTATTCTTCTCACATTCTAAACATCAGATATCGAACTCGGAAAAAATGGAGTTGGAGGTGAGAGTCGTCGGAGGAATCGAGAGCTGTTTCGTGTCGTTACCAGTGAGCTTAATCCAGACTCTCGAGTCCACCACCGCTTCCGGCTACCTTCCTCCTATTCTAGCCCTCGAACTTCGCTCTCCTCAAAACGCTAACCAACTCTGGCGTGTTGCTTGGTCCGGTTCCGCTTCTTCCCATCCATTTCCTAATTCTATTCAGGTTCACACATCTCAATCTCTCAAATTTTCCTAACGAATTTAACTAATAACTGGAAATGTTCAATTTTTCTTTTAGTTTGTGTGATTTGTGTTGTTTGTTGTGTGGATGAAGATTGCAAAGCAATATGCCGAGTGTATTGGATTGTCGGATCGTGCAGTGGTTCGAGTAACAGCACTGTCTAATTTGCCTAAAGCTACTATGGTTACCATAGAGCCCGATACTGAAGATGATTGGGAAGTTTTGGAACTTAACGCTGAGCATGCCGAGCAGGCTATTTTAAAGCAGGTGCTTATAGTTACTATGTGTTATTGATTGAGAATGTGTTGTTTCACTTGTATACAGTTTTTCCTCGTTTTTTTTAATAACCGTGGTGCCCGACCAGCTTGCGCGTACCTTGACTAATTCTTTGGTAGACCAGATACTTTGTCTACCAAGGCTTGGGCAGATGGAAGAAATCACCTAGTGGTTTTTAGCAAAGAAAAGTTTTTCTTCGTTCTTGTATATCATATGTTTTAGTATTTACAGGTTTTCCTGTAGCTTTTGCTTATAATAGGTTAAACTTTAAATGCAATGGATAAGAAACTACCAGGATATGATTTTTTATGTGAATTTTATCGATCACCTTAATTGTGATATTAAAATTTCATATGGATGCGATGCATAAGACACATGACATTAGTGTTTAAGCCAGGTTGTTTTCTAGCAAACTGCTTGTTCCCCTAAATATAAGTTAAAAAAGAAATAACAATTATAGAGGGCATGACCACCACTATGGGATTTGTTGTTGGGGCAGGCAGAGAGGTATAGCTGCACAGCAATATGTTTATTTGTATACTTTTTCCATGTTGCTCCGCTGCTTTCTTGCTCTAGGGTGGCAGATTTCTGTATTTGTTTTTGTCTGATTCAATAATAAACCTCAATTCATACAGTTTTTAAGAAGGATTCAATTGAATTAATGCTGTGAATTATGGACATTTCTAAGAGAAATGGGCAAAGGATAAGAGAAGCTTATGGGTTTTGGTTAGCATAAGGCAAATTATGCCTTTCATTCCTAACTAGCTTAAAACAAATTTATGAAAGATTGACCTGTTTTGATGATGTGATTCTTAGCTCAACCCTGTGTTACCTGCGAAAAAAGAATCATACCTTGGTTGCTGACTGTCATCCTTTCTCTTTGCTCTTGGTTTTTGGTTTATTGCTCAAAATCCAGCTAGAAAGTATGCACGTTTCATTTGGAATAAGCATGAGCATCATAATGTTACTTGTAGGTGGGAATGCGTGAGATTGTTTCAGATCTTTCTTACTCTCTAGAATTGACTGTTTGTTAACACAAGCATAGTACTTGTGTTGATTGGAGTTGTAGTTACTACTTGGAGTAGTTGAGGTGAGCAAGTCGGCCAGAGCTCCACAGTTATTTAAAAAACAACAAAATTAATCCCATTCCCGGAGAAAAAGGAGGAAGATACTCGTTTTAATTTTGTAAACATATCAAAAGACCTACTGAACTTATGTCATAACATACTCTTTGTGTTTCACACTAAATTCCACATTTCTCATCTGGGTCGTGCCAAATTAGTATCTAGTTTGATCATTTAGACCATATTACCACCTATTTTATTTTTGAGACTGCTACCATTATATTTTAAAAAAAGGCACTAAGGCAGTGCAAAGCCATATGTACTGGGGGGAAGATCAAAACTGATCCACCAGACTTACAAAAAACCTAACATGTCAACCAGGGACTCTGTATTCTCTACATGCCTTTCTTTACACCAAAAATAAAACAAAAGAATACAATTCATCTTAACATTCTGAAGAGTATTGTATCTGTCTTCAAAAACTCTTGAGTTCCTCTCTGTCCACGTTGTCCACCATACACAAGCAGGTATCAATCTCCACCATGTCTTCTGACTGACTACACCTCCAATGTTATTCCAGGACTTTAGAAGCTCCAGAGTAGTTGCAGGCATTGTCCATCTGAGGCCCACAATGTTAAGGAACAATTGCCACAATTGACTAGTGATAGGACAGTGCAGAAACAGATGACTGTTGGTCTCCAGATCTCTGCCACATAACAAACATCTCGAGCATAATAGAAATCCCTCTTTGTAGGTTTTCTTGGGTTAAACAAGCTTCTCTTGACCATATTACCACCTATTATACCCATTCTAGAGTTTTTCCTGGTTCCGTACTTTCAGTTCACTCCCCTAGTTAAATCAAAAAAGATAATCTATCACCTGGCCTATAAACCCACTTCTTGGAAGGTAATCCATGTTCAAGTTAGTATACTATTCTGTCTATAATTTTCTTTCAAGAGCAGTGTTGTCAAACACAATATTTAACTTGAAGCCATGTGAATGATACTGTTTTCTTGAAGTTGACCAATACTCAACCATTGTGTATTTTTTGCAGGTTGGTATTGTCCATGAAGCAATGCGATTTCCTTTGTGGCTGCATGGGCAAACAATTATCACATTCAAAGTTTTTTCAATCTTTCCGCTCACACCGGTAGGTAAGAGGATGTTAATTCCTTGGTTGATGTATGTGATTTATTGCCTATCATGCTCTATTTTTTTATAAGAACTTGGTTGCTAAACTTGGTTGCTAAACTTGGAAGTTCGCCCCATTACTGGAATATAAAGTTTCGAAGGAAGATGCATGTTTTGGAGCTTAATGACTACTTTCTTTCATGTATTGTCTGACAATGTTGCCTGTATCTTTGTATTACATACTAGAAAGAGAAGATAATTGCTGGTATCTGTTAGCGGGGCCTATCATTTACTAATACCATGGATTAAGGCTTTTATTTTTAAATAACCGATAAATCCTCGAGGAGCACAGTTCAAAACTCGGTGGATAATGGGCTTGCCCCTCTACCAGGTTTTTGTCTACAGTAGGGTTTGAACACGTGACATGCACCTAACTCATAATCACAAGTTGCTCTCTCACCATTAGACCAAAGCCCTGAGGCACTATGGATTAAGGTTTCTTAAATCATTTAATCAAGTACTATTTGTTTTATCTCAAGGCTTCTATTTGCCTTCATTTAATCAAATATCAATCCTTATACAAGGAGGGAAAGAAGATTATGATATATAACAATTTGATATATGTTGCATATTTGCAGTATGCTTGCTGGAGTTTTACCTTTAGCCCCTCTCCCTTTTAGCGTCAGGTTTCGTAAAAGAAAAAAAAACTCAGGTTTGTGTCAAATGAGATCAACAATAGCAGGACATATATAATGTTCTTTTCACATGCTTAATATGGTTTTTGAGAACTTCAAAATCATGAAAAGCTGACTTACCCGGTTGTTATCAGTACAACTTGTACCAGGAACTGAAGTTGCTGTTGCTCCAAAAAGGCGAAAAAGAAATATTATTTCAGGTGAGGATTCCATGACGCAAGATGATAAGATTTCGGTCTCAAAGGCACTATTGAGAGTCCAAGATACTGGTGATCAATGCATTCATAGATACGAGGCTGATGGAGTTGAGATGAGAGTGGTTTTGACCTCTGCTATCTTCATTCATCCAGACACAGCCAGTATATACTCTTTTGAACCTCTTCAGACTGTGGTAATAATTCCCAGATTGCTTCCCAAAGAGACCAAGAAGAATCAGGAGACAGATAGCCGTAGACTGAAAAATAGTGCAACTTCAAAGGAAGTGAAAGTAGGGGGTGCACCTGACAAGCACGATATCCATCAAGCAATGGTTCGTCTAATATTTTCAGAATCAGTGGCTAAAGGACATATAATGCTTCCTCAGTCTCTTCGGCTTTATTTGAGAGCGGAGTTACACTCATGTAGGTTTTTCTTTGCAGAACTAAATTGATGCACCAATTGCAGAGAAGCTGGTGTTATCTAACAGTTCAATTTATTACTCATTATTCGGCTCAGACTTGTTGGTATTTTAGGAAGCAAGTTACTTATATTATCATTTCTTATTAATGCGTTTTTCATATACCATTTGAACTATTCTATTATTTGCAAGATTTTTTCTGGTTTGTCACCCATACCTAAGTATGAACCAACTTCCATTGCAATTAAAAAAAATATGATCCAACTTCCATAGGAAATAGAAAAACAGGGAAGATCACATTCATTTCTTCCATTGGTTCATTGATTGATAATTGTCCAACTTGCTAATAGCCACTCCTTAAAAACCCCTCTTGTCAAAAAAGCAGCGGAAGAACCTCAAAAGAATTGGACATGTTACCTGACCAAAATGTTTCTCCTATCATGTCCAGGATTCTATCAAGAATAAATTGGTTTGCTTGCAATTATTTCACCTTTGTTTTCTTACTGTACCTCTGAAAAATTACTTTAATTCCAGGTGTTTATGTGAAGAGATTCAATGTCAAATTGAAGAAAGAGTTTCCTTTAGTTTCGCTTTCACCTTGTGAATTCAAGATACTCCAAGAGAATGGGGTTTCTGAAGAAAATAATGCTGAAGTTTTGGGTAACAAAAAGAATAATAAAATAATAACAACACTTCTCAGAACCAATTCAGACATTGAGATGGGTACTATTGACTGGTCAACCCATGAGAAAATTGCCACAGCCTTTTCTTCTGAATCCAGCAAGGAAGACAAAGAAACGAGCGTCAAGTCTGATATCAAAAAGGGCATTGCAGCTCTTTTGCGTAGATGGTGTCTTGCACAACTAAATGCTGTCACGCTAAAGGCTGGAGTGGAAGTGAAATCATTGATTTTAGGAAACACAACTTTGCTTCACTTCAAAGTGAAAGATGACAGATCCATAAAACATGGTGTCCAAACAATGAATGGTGGAGAAGCAGCGCTAGATGTTGTGTATGTGTTGTCAATTTCTGATGAATCAATACATGATGAAAAGATTGATGCATATGAAGTTGCATTTGATGAAGGAAGCAAGTTAACTACTTCTCCCGAAAGCTTAGAACCTTGGCTTGGAAAGCTTCAACTGGGCAATGGTCTCTCCATTAGGACTGTCAGGGAGAAATGCTTTGCTAAAAGCACCAGTCTTACAATTTCTTCATTAGACTGGATGGGAATGGCTGCATCTGATGTGATCAATAGTAGGTATTTCCTCGTTTGATTAGCGTTAAATCATCTAATTGTCTGAACGGAACTCTAAATGCATTTGAGATTTATAGGAGCTGTATAACTGCAAAATTTCTACCCTTCTATAAGGACATCTATTTGTCTTTTACTTTGTAAATGAAGATATATTCCAACAGTAACTTTTTAGTAAAATTGTATGAGAAAATTATGCTTATTTCTGAAATGCAACATGCTGAATTTCCTTAGTACAAATTGAAAAAAGGTTTCTATTATAGGTAAGTAAGGCTTGATAAGCCGGAGTATGTTTGTGTAAGAGTAAGGGACAGCACACAAAGGGAAAAAGGAAGGGATAAATAGAGTATTGAAGGGATTGATGATGTGAATAATTTGGAAGGGAAAGAGGTAGGCATATGAAGAGAGGAAAGCAGTGTATACCACTAGTTGACCCGGGAAAAGAAATTTTGGGGTGGTGAAAGACACTTTCTTCTGTCCAGGCGTTGGGTCTTTGGTGATAAAGTTGCTTTCATGTGAGATGGAGAGGTAGAGAGCTTTCTAACTATTTCCACGTTAGCAGATGGCTGTCACGTACTATGTATGATAAAAGATGGTTTGGGTCGTTGAGTACTGGAATAAGTATTTAAGCTGCAAAATTTTCCCAATGGGAGAGCATGAAGTGCCAAATGCTGGAGGAATACAAGAATGCAAAGTGCAGTTTATGGTACTTCTTTGTTTTCTGATACTTTTAGGCTTTTAGCAATCTCAGTTTTCAAAATCCCATTCTTATTAGTTGATGGAGAAATAAATCCACATAATAATAACCAAGATGCAGTTGGTGGGTAAAGAGATGGAGTAATACTTTCTTCAATTTTAACTGCCAGTGCTAAGTTATCAAATCCATTGACAATTTGACATCAGTGAAGATCTTGAAAGGTTTCAGCTTTAACTGAAAAGATTGTGAACCATATTTGTTTATGTAAGTCTGCAGTATGTCAAAGAGTTGTGCATGCATTTATTTCTTGTTTTCTGCCAAGCTAATATTGTGACTGGTGATTTTTTTTTTTTTTTTTTTTTTTTTTTTTTTTTTGTATTCAGTTGAGTACTATTTTTCCCCCTTGGAAAAGGGGAAAATTTCCAAGGGAAAAAAATAGTATTTAACTGATTAAAAAAATATTCATCACTTGCATACTCTTTTTTCCCCCAGTTACATACTATTTTTTCCCTTGGCTGAATGCTATCATCACTTGCAGGGTTGGTAGTTCTGTTATCTTCAGCGTCTTGGATGTTGTCCAGTGCTTATGATTTTCCGCTGCCAGGACATATTCTAATCCATGGGCCTTCTGTGAGTTCCCTTTTTCCAGTTCCTTTTTTGTGTGTATGTGCTGAATATTTGGATGTTGAACAGTTGAAATCTCTGGAGAAGCTTGAAAGTGACTAGATGGTTTACAAGCTACCTTTATGGTGTTTCCTTTTCGTTTGTGTTTTCCCCTCTCTCTGCTGGTGTAATGTTTGGTTCCTTGAGAGATGGAATAGTATAGGAAATATTAAGCAATTTGTCTCTCCTTTCATGCTTTCTAAGTCAAAGGGGAAAGAAAAGAAGAACTGAAAGGTCATCATAATAAAAAGACTAACCTAGTGAAAAGGAAGAAGAACGAGCTGTACTTACTTCCCATGTTGTTTGACTTGCTTTGATTGTCTAGAGCATTCTTCCAATGGTCCCGAATTAACTTGGTCCCTGCAATTTTTGGACCATTAGATATGCGAAACCTACAAGATATAATAGCCCACAATGCAGGGACCGTGCAAGTATCTTGGTGTTGTATGAGTAGAGTTGGCTTATTTCAGAGGATAATTCATGCTTGTGTCTTCTTATCTTTCTTTGACGAGAACTTATAGATTTAGGAAGAAGCCAGAAAAAGAAGAAAAACCAAAGGAAGAAAACTTACCAACCACAAAAGGCTAGAATCTTAGGATGGAAGGAACTTGAATGGCTTCCAGTCTCTTGAGGAAGCTGAATGAGTCTAAACACTCATATCTGAAATCTGGCTCCATGAGATGTAAAGATGCAAGAGTTGGATCATAGCATCTCAGAGATGGCAGATGTTCCTTGGTGTTTTCAATGTAAAATAGTGATGCAAAGCAGCTTAAAGGAAGCTATTATATGCTGGATGGAAAGGATGGGGAAAAGACAACATAAAGCTGAAAAATTCCACCTTGTATTTTACAGGTGATTTGGAATGGAAAAATCACTGGTGTTTTGAGCACGAAGAAGCTGCAACACATGTATACAACATAGGTGTTTCGTGTGACAAGAAGGTGCCACCAAAACCTAAAGGTAAGTTCTACAGTGGTGGTCAGACCGACTATGTTGTATGGTGCTGAGTGTTGGCCAGTCAAGAGCTCTCATGTCCAGAAGATGAAGGTAGCAGAGATAAGAATGTTGAGATGGATGTGCAAGCACACCATGTTAGATAGGATTAGGAATGAAATTATTCGGGACAAGGTGGGTGTGGCCCCTATTGAGGACAAGATGCGGGAAGCAACGCTTAGATGATTTGTACATGTGAGGAGAAGAAGCACAGACGCCCCGATCAAGAGGTGCGAGAGGTTGACATTGGAGGGCCTAAGGGGAAGTAGAGGTAGGCCGGAGAAGAATTGGGATAAGGTGATTAAGCAAGACATGACGCAGCTATAGCTAACCGGGGACACGACCTTTGATAGGAAGGTGTGGAGGTCGAGGATTAGGGTAGTAGGTTAGGTAGTCTAGATTGTTCATGCCGGTAGTATTAGTACGTATTCTCGCATTCTGTTGGTATTAGGTTTCTATGACTACCTGTCATTTCTTTTATTTTGGGTCATCTTGTTGTTATTAATGCTGTTTTTGCATGGCTTCTTGGTGTTGTTCGTTCTTGTTTTTCTTTTCATTATGGTGGTACTTATGCTTTCCCGAGTTGAGGGTCTATTGGAAACAACCTCTCTTCTCCACAAGGTAGGGGTAAGGTATGCGTACGCACTACCCTCTCCAGACTCCACGATGTGGGATGATACTGGGTATGTTGTTGTTGTTGTTCACACTCTTCGTAGGAGAAACTACATATATCTTTTTGTAACAACACTCTTTGCTCAGTGCGTTTCAAATTGATGAATAAAATTCTTATTACTTCTTAGAAACAAAATGCTATAATTCTGAGGCTCAGTTTCGAGGAAACCATGGTGATAGTAAATCAATTTTTGTTTTAGATACAGACACTTGGTTCATTTAATTAGAGACAAACAAGTTTATATGTTATAGAAGACTTTACGAGCCTTACTGAAAGAAGGGAAGAAACTGTTGGTATAATGATTTGCATCTCTTCCGATTTGATTTATCAAAGGGTTTTAATCTACTTGAGAGCTTGGTCTATTCATCCAATTTGGATTTAGTTGTTTTTTGGCATGAATACGGTTGTTAATTAGGCTTTTAACTCCTTGTTTGGCCTTCAATCTTAAAGGATGAGCCCAAGTATCAAAATGCAAAAGTTACTAACGGTATCTTTTGTCCTGTAAAGGTAGTTTGCAGCTGTTCATTGAGGTATAATCGTTTGTATATCATCCTTGCTTATACACACTGTCTACAAAAGTTATGAAAAAGGATGCGCGGTAAGGAAGCGTACAGTCACAGGGTGCTGAGCTACCTTTAATAGTAATGGTATCCTTTAGGATATGTCCTGGAATTTATGGATCTAAACAGAATGATTGTGTAGAAATCCAATCTATGTAATATGTGGGACGTAAGTTGATAAGTGTAACTCTATCTCTATTATTTATCTAGGTTAGTTGATTTAGTATGATTTTGACCTTGACTAACGTGAATCTTACAATATTATTGCAAACTGTTGAATGAACCCCAATTTGAACATTTCTACTTTTTTTAGGGTTCCGGGAAAACATTATTAGCTACAGCAGCTGCTAAATTCGCTGAAGAAAGTGAGGACATCTTGGCCCATATGTAAGGATTTGTTTGGCCAATCCCACCAAACCTTTGTTTTCTGTTGGACAGCATCTTAACTCCATTTTGAAGCTTCAGCTTGATCATTCGTGATTCTATACCAAGGGATGTGGTCTGACTCTTGTTTCTTCCTGCAGAACTTTTTTATCTTGTTCTAAGCTTGCTTTGGAAAAGCCTTCAACCATTCGTCAAACTTTGCTTAGCTATGTTGCTGATGCGTTGGATCATGCACCTTCTGTTGTGGTATTTGATGATCTTGATAGCATTGTTGCAGCCTCCTCTGAGTCTGATGCTTCTCAACCTTCTTCCTCATCAGCAGTGCTTGCAGAAAACTTTGCTGATATTATGGATGAATATGAGGTGAGACTTGCCGTTAGAGCTTTAAAGGAGCTACTTTAATATTTATCCAATGCTTGATTTGTGTTCAATCGTGTTTGAGTCTAAACGAGCTGTATATTGGAACCTCCATGGCCAGCTTGATTTCTGTTCTCGTCTTAGGATCTGCGCTAACTCAGTTTCCCCATAAAATGACGGAAGGTTATTTGCTTCTGAATGAGGTAGAAGTAACACAACTGATGAGAACATTAAGAGGTCGTTTGGTAGAGTGCATTAGAAAAAGTAGTGCATGCATTAGCTTTGTATATTAGTAATACCTTGTTTGGTACACTTTTTCAACCTACGTACAACTAATAGAAGCATTAGTTACACACCCTATTTGGTTTTATCCTAGGTATAGCTAATACATAGCAAGCTATGGTATTAGCAATACCAAGGTTATTAATACATGTATAAGCTTAGTTAACGACAAAATTGCCCCTTCAAATCTTATGCTTGATTAAAATTCTTTTTACCTGTTTTTCATTAATATAAATAAGGTATAGGGTGACAAATTTGCCTTTCCTAATTTTTTTCCACCCCGTTATGTAATATTAAATTCTTTCAATTAATCATCCCTTCTATTAAATATCATAATTAATAAATAAATGAAAAGCTAAAAAGTCGCAATTCCATCTATTTTCTGTTTCCTATGATGCTTATATTATCTTTCTGATTTTTATTGTTGTCACAGATTCTATTATCTATTTTCGTCTTCTTGAGCTGAGGGTCTCTCGGAAACAGCCTCTCTACCCCTCCGGGGTAGGGGTAAGATCTGTGTACATTCTACCCTCCCCAGACCCCACTTGTGTGATTTTACTGGGTTGTTATTGTTGTTTCTCTACAATCGCGGGATTCTTCCTCTTCCTCTCCTATGAGGCCAATTGCTCCATGGACACAACGTCTTGGATCAGCAATTGCAAGAACTGTATAACAACAAACCCAGTATAATCCCACAAGTGAGGTCTAGGGAGGGTAGTGTGTACGCAGATCTTACCCCTACCTTGAGGGTAGAGAGGCTGTTTCCGATAGACCTCCGACTCAAGGAAAGATGTAATTTTTAATACAACAAACCAAACAGTCGATAAGAAATAATCTCAGCACAACTAATGCATGCATAACTAATACCAGCATTACTAATACACTCTATTCAGCTCTATGCTTATACACTCTACCAAACGACCCTTAAGGACTCTGACACAGTGGAATTCATGTGTCTTCCCTATTTTAATTATGGTGCGACTTTGCTGCCTTTCCATATTTTCTTTTCATGAGTTTAGACAAACCTAGAAATTTTCATATTGTTCTAGTCGGTGGAATAGTAGAGGTGCGAGTAAGCTCACGTTACTGGTATTAAAAGATATCTCTTTCATGCTTGGAGAATATGGTGAAATGCTGGAACAAAGTAGGAGGTAATGTAAGGCAATAGAAGTGGTGGAAATCTAGCCCTGCTTGCATATGGTGGACTGTGTGGACAGAGAGAAATGCAAGGTGTTTTAAAGATATCAGCAGTCCTATACATAGAATTAAGTCAAACTGTATTTTTGTCCTCGTACTCATGGTGCAAAGAAAATTATGTAGAGGATGCTGAATCTTTACTTGATTGCTAGGATCACTGTAAAGAATTATAAGTAGTTCTTGTAAGATGAACAAGACTGTTTAATTGAACTGTAAATAGAGTGGTCAGCATTTCCTTAATGCTGACGAATATCTGTTTTACCAGTTTCAAAAAAAAAAAAAAAGATTATGGCAAATGTCCTTAGCCAAGGGCATTCAAGGTTTACAATATTATTTGCAACTTCTCTGAGGTCTTGGGCTCTTTCATCACAGTGCCTTTTAACTGATAACACTGTTTCTGTCTGTTAAACAGGAAAAACGGAGGAACACGTGTGGGATTGGCCCAATTGCATTTATTGCTTGCTCACAGTCTCTGACTAATTTACCACAGGACTTGACCTCTTCTGGTTAGTCCATCATCTTTCAGGGAGAAATCAGTTTTATTATTTATGACAGTTTAAACCGTCTTCCTCTGTCTTCAGTACCGCCATACTTTATTCTTAATCCTAATGTTTGGTTTTTATTATGGTCAGGGAGGTTTGATTTTCATGTTAAATTGCCTGCACCTGCTACCACAGAGCGTGGTGCCTTGCTAAAACATATAATTCTGAAGCGTTCTTTGCAGTGTTCGGATGACATCTTGCTGGATATAGCGTCCAAGTGCGATGGATATGATGCATATGATCTGGTACTTAATTCAGCCCTAAGCTTGGCTAATAACTGACTAAAACAATATTCGCTTGCTGCTATCTCGGCCGCGTATGAATTGCTTTTAGCTTGATCTGGAATGAGTAAATCTGTCTCTTCCTGCTCTCCCTTCCAGCTAAACATCAACATTCTTTCCTGATGGTCCCTACCAAAGCAAAACGTTGTTGGGTACAATGTTTCTCAATAGTAAATTGAAAGGCCTACTCAGTTGATGTGGTGTCACCTATCTTCTCAACTATTTCCCCTGATTCATTAAGCTGGTTAAGATTGATATTGGGGAAAATAAACGTCGCTAACAGGTGGCATTACAGTACGTTCAGGAGAATTGTTAATTTTATCTTAGATGTTCAAACTCCAAACATCCTACCTTCTGCAAACAATAACCACCACCAGGGGTGGACCCACATGTTGTCAAGGGGGTTCAGTTGAACCCGTTTCATCGAAAAATTATACTGCGTATATTGATAAATTACATTTAAAAGAGGAAATTTACTACTATAAAAAAAAGTTTGAACCCACTTTAACACAAACATGCTTCCTGTAGGGGTGGTTGAGCGGGTTCAAAGTGTGTGATGGGTGGTGGGATCGAATCCCATTTGCAGCGTTTCCCAATTTAGTTTTTAATCTGTACTTGGAATGGAGCATATGCAACGGAAGGCCGAGACCATCTTTGTTTCAAATTAAGAGTCTGTTTGGAAAGCCACCCTGTAATTGAAATAGGTGTAATTACTAGGGTAGTAATTACACAACCTAGTAATTACACAGTTGTGTAATTACGACGACATGTTTGTTTGTCATAGTGTAATTACAAGTGTAATTACACAGTTAGATTAAATTTTAAATTAAGTAATTATCAAAACTTAAAATCTAATATAATAAATATATGCCTATAAATTTTTATAAGTATAAATGATATTATATTTGGTATTTAAGATGTATATTTTTTTCGTGAATATACATTAATTAGTAATTATATATTTAAAACTAATATTGTAAAAATAATTTATATATATTTTTTAAGTTAATAATATTTAGTTTAGAAACTTACAAAAATTAAAAATATATGTATTGTAAGAACATCATGGAATTCATGTTTGATAAAATAAATTATTTGACAAAACTAATCTATCAATTCTAACTAAAAAATGAACAACATGCAATGTGAGCCAATATTACTAAAACAAGTAAGTTGGAACCATGAATATAACACATTTTCAAAATTCAACAACAAAAAAAAAACCGTTTAACATATGTCAACTTCCAACATAATAATAGTAAGTCCCACTGCAACTTAAGATTAGGAAACATGATAAGTTTATAACCACATTCAACAATGAAATTACACTTTAATTGCATCACTCGTTATATGCCAAGTTTGTTAATGACTCGTTATTTCTAATATTAAGAGTTGTAGTTTCAAAAATTGAATAATAAAATAAATAAAATATAAGCAAATTACATGGAATCACAAAAAGTAAAGATAGAGAAATAAAAGATAAATAATGTACAAAGAAAAATATATTTTAAAAAATTAAAAATTAAAAAGTAAAAATAAATTAAAAAATTAAAATAATAGAAATAAAAAGTTATAAAGAAAATAAATTAAAATAAAAACAAAAAGGAAAAAAACTAAAAAACAACATTGTAATTACACAGTGTAATTACCACCAATTCTCACCTCCCCCTTGAGAATTGGAGAGTGTAATTACACCCCTCCAATTACACCCAATTCCATGCTGACCAAGTAATTACTTGGCCAAACAAACAAGCCAAACTGTGTAATTACACCCAATTACACCAAAATCCATTTCCAAGGTGGCTTTCCAAACAGGCTCTAAATATTATCCTTCAAATTTATTACTCTCATGTTCTCTCCTTTGTCATTTCACTATTTCACTTCTTTTTTTGTTCTCTTTTCTCTGTAAGTAACTTCTTATTAATAACAAGGAAAACTCTAGATTTATTTATATCTTAGAGTTAATAAACATTTGTTAAATTAAATTTTTTGAAGTAAAAATTTGTTACATTAAATAGATAATTTTTTAAAATAGAGATAAATAATCTTTTTTAACCTTCATGAAATATTTTTAGGTTTGTTAAAATTATCGAGTACCAACTTTAAAATGACTTCATTTTGAGATTGTATTAAGAGCAAAAAAGGATAATAAAATGATCAAACCCTACTTGTCATACCCGACACTACTTATGCTATTAGACGCGTGCGTCTTTGGCTGAACCCGCTTGTGCAAAATCCTGGGTCCGCCACTGACAACAACAACAACAACAACAAACCCAGTGTATTCCCACAAGTGGGGTCTGGGGAGGGTAGTGTGTGCGCAACCTTACCCCTACCTTGAGAAAGTAAAGAGGCTGTTTTCGAACTTGCCTTCTGCAAACAGAGAACTAAAAAGATATTCTCATATTACTTCTGAAAATACTGACCATGTACATAACATCAACTGTAACTTTAAGCAATGTTGAAGGCATAATTAAATAAATAAACATATGCTCTCTCTAACAGTTTAAGTTTTTAGATGAGATGGTCACACACTTCAACAAAGTATTAGAGCAAACAAGAAGTCGTGAATTCGAGTCTCACTGTCACCAACTATAAAAAAGAATGTCCACATGCTTGGCTCATAAAAAGAATCAAGCCCGCACGTAAGTGAGTGTGTTGATATAATTAAGTAAATAAAAGTGCGATCTCTCTTACAGTTTAAGTTTTAAGATGAGATGGTCATATACTTCAACAAGGAATAAATGAGCTTGATAGTAGAACTGCGAGCTCGTTTTTTTCTAAAGAGAACACTTCATTTGGCCCTTTGATAAAACAACTTCCTCTTTATTTAGGAATGTGCGGCTATTTAATTGAGAGATGGCTAGTAGTAGACAACTTAGGTTTTGTCTGTACTGGAAAAATTGAAACGAGTAGAAGGATGAACTTGTGAGCCTACTATTATCATGCATTTTACTGCTTATCTTTTGTTTAGTTGGGACTAGGGGTAGCAAACGGGCGGGTCGGGTCGGATATGTGTGGGTCGAAAACTGGTAATGCAAAAAATGAATAAATATCTGACTCGACCTATACTTAATATGGATAGAAAATGGGATAACCGGCAGATAATATGGATATCCATATTATACATAGCTTCTTGAATATGATCATTTTGGGGGAACTCGTAGTCTCCCAAACTTGAGGAACCCACAATTTGTCTTTGCAAATGCAAAAGTTAAACCCATTGGTCATCTATTTTTAAGTGGATAATATGGTTATTATCAATATTTGACCAATTCTTAAAAAAGTTCACTATCCAACCCATATGACACTTTCGGCAAAACTCAATTGACTCTTACTTCAGAAAGTACTTTAGATTCATACTCGTATATGATTTTTTTTTTTGGGGGAAAAAGAAGTGCAACATAGATGTGATTGTTTTCACTGAACTGTACAACTGGAAGACGGGGGGGGGGGGGGGAATGAAGAAGGGGAGAAAAGAAAACAAGCAGACCTGTATCTTTCTTAAACTCAAGAAGTCACCCTGTGAATTCTATAGGAGACATCCACAAACCAGAGTTTTTATGAGATGTAACTTGCTTTTCAAACTATGAGTACCCTATAGTAGGTTTTATCATTTTTTCTTCACTTCGTAAATGATTATAACAAGGTTCAATTTGTATACCTCCTCGAATGCACTATTATGCACTCCTGTGCTATACATTCAATAAGTACACAGCCTGCATTTTGTTTAGATGTAGATGATGACTATTTGAGTATTCCCAAGGATTCTATATATTGGCCACCTTGTACAGAGAGCCTAGTTATATTCCTACACATGTATCTGCATCTAGTGGTGCTTAACTTACAGCTGACTGCTGATGCCACAGGACCATTTGCTCCAACCTTGGTGGTGCAGGATTATTCGACACATGGCTTGTATGTTGTAGCAGGATGCCCCATAGATTGATCGAGTTGTGAGTAAGCGTACTGTTATAAAGAGGAGACGACTTAACAAAAACATGTGAATAAACATCTCACATTTTAGCGAAAGTAAATAATTAGTAATTTACATTGATTTTAGCAAATTAAGTAAATAAAAGTAATTAATAGAATTGTAGTTTAGCAAAGTCGAAAAATAAGATTAAAACTACTTGTGGAAAGTTGTTAAATACTTTAACAAGAATCTGTTAAAATTGGTGAAAATTTACCCATTTAATCTGTATTATCCGAAGCATTAAAGTATATAAAGGTTGCTATGCAAGAACGAATTATTATGTGATCAGTGAACTATTTCCTTTCTGTGAGTAGTCTTAAAAATTGGTCCATGTATGTTCATATTTCGTTATATCATGTACGAACATCTGGTTTTTCCTTATATTCCTACTCGTGGTTGGACAGAGAATCAGTACAACTGTGATAGAGAATCAGTACAATTGCCCTTCTATCCTACTGTCTAAACAGCAATAAGCATCTGGTAGAAAGTTATGTGGGCGAGCATTTCAACTTGAAAATGGCGATCAGAAAGAAGTATTTATACATTTTTTTGGTTTAACCATCCCATATCGAGAGCCCACTGTATCCGGCTGTAGAAAGCCCACTATGTGGTGTTTAAGTGCTCCGTACGAAAGGGGACTCCGTTTCCAGGGCTCAATGCCAAGACCTCTTGTAAGGATGGAGGAACCTTTACAATTTCATCATGTCCTTTGGTGGTGAAGTATTTGTACTTCATAGACTGCATAGTAGCTGCTGACCAGAAAACTTTAATATTGTCCATTTCTTAGTTGTATCATATATCTAGATTAATGTCCCAAAGTTGTGTTAAGGATGGAGGAATCTTTACCATTTCACCATACCCCTTGGAGGTGAAGTATTTGTACTTCATAGACTGTAAAGTAGCTGCCAAACAGAAAGCTTTAATATTGTCCATTTTTTACCTGTATCATCTATCTCGATGATTAATGTTCTAAAGTTGTATTTTTTTGAAGTCGTCAGTTGAAAATATAATTTTCGTATGAAACTTTGTCATTTGTGTTCTGGTATAAGTTGATGGAGTTTCTGATTTCCTTTCTTTAGCTACCAGAGGAACACTTGCATTTATGCTGGGTTTCATTTTATTTCAGGAAATACTGGTTGATAGGTCTGTTCATGCTGCAACTGGCCGCTTTTTTACTAGTGATTTGGGTGGCAGACAGGACAAACCTCTTTTACTTAAGGATGATTTCCTGCATGCCATGCATGACTTTGTTCCAGTGGCAATGCGTGACATCACTAAACCGGCTGCTGATGGTGGTCGGTCTGGTTGGGAGGATGTTGGAGGTCTTAATGACATCCGGAATGCTATTATAGAGGTAAATGTTTATTTTCTGCTTTTTGGGGTTTTATATCCTTACTGCTACACTAGTTAATGTTTTAGTTGTTCATTAGATGGGACATTGATGTAAATTTTAAACAAGCAGTTATTTATTTTATGTCTATGCGTCAGCTCATGATTTCTGTTCCCCTTTTATGTTTTCTTCGGCTTTTCTCTGCTTGTATGGAACGTGCAAAGTAGATCGTGGTTGGTCCTAAGCAATGTCTTGCGCGAAGCGACCCACTTAGAACAAGCTTCCCTTTATGTTAGGGGAGCACTAAAAATGCAACTTCGATAGGATGCGGGATTTGCATTATCAACATTCATTTGGCACATGGAGGTTAATTTGATCCTCCTTTTTCTTTCAAAACTTTGGGTTCTAATAAATACTTTGTATAATCTTTTAATTATTGAGTTAAAAATTGCTCCCACTGAAGGTGTGGATATGACAATTTTAAATTTTATGCTGGATATGAGAGAGAAAGGAAGTGGACTTCAAAGTTTTTACAAAGTCATTTTGTTTCTAATATGATGAGAGAGAAACCTGAAGGTAAAAGCTTTTTGCCCTTGGACCCGTGATTTATACTCCATATTTTATTTCTTTTGAACATTTTAGACTTACTTCCAACATCAGAAGAAATGTGAACATCCATTCAGCATTTTATCAATATAAATTATTCTTTCACATTTGCACTGTTTTCTTCTACTATTCTTTTTCCATCTCTCCTTTCCATAACAATTAAGAAACATGCTGATGGCAACATCTATATTGGCTTCCCTGCATGATTAACGATGTTTTTGTAAGGTAAATAAGTTTATTAATTTTTGAAAAAGCTCCCATATACAAGAGGTATACGGAAAAGTAGTGACTCTACATCAAAACATGATTCTCTGCAAAAGACACACAGTCATCTATACAAATAGGAATCTCATGGGTGCACTGAAAGCAATCAAAGACGTGAGGCTATTCCTCAAATATACAAAATCATTTTCAATCTCCGCAAAGGCTCTCCTATGTCTCTCCCTCCGTACAACCCACATTAGAGCTAAGGAGGCAACTTCTCATGCCATTGGTCTTCTTTTCCCTCTGGTTGAATGGTTATAGTTTGCCTATATTGTTGAGTTGGCTTCAATGAAGGCAGGCAATAATTATTACTCATGTAGTGGGATAGAAACATTAATTATTAATTGGCTTGTCAGCTTGTCAGAGAGATAGAATACCAGACACTCTAGAATAACTTTAGCTTGCACTCCTTTCTTTGTTTCATCAGCTTGTTGGGGGTTCTTTTCTTTTTGTCTTGTTTCGTTATGTAACTTAGTTACTCATCTTCTATGTTCAAGTATGCTATCATTCAGCAAATATGGATGAACATCCTTCATAGTGAATGATGATAAATGGTTGTAAACCCCTTTGAACTATGTATTAAGTAGTATGGGTGTTAGGGTAAACAAAAATCATGTTCTAGGGTTTGCATGTGCTTCACTTAAATGTTCTCTTTTATTATTTCATATCACCTTTAGTCTTCTGTTCAACAGAAAACAATAAATAAATATATTATGGGAAAATTTCACATAAAAAACAATTAGGCTCCCTACTTTTTAATTTATTATAGCCATATTTTAATTTACAACCAACTACCCAAAATTAATAGGCTAAGATTCAATATTCAACTCCAATAGGTTCTAGAAATTACTATTTAATTTTTAAAAAAGATTGCTCAAACTTTAAGTTAATTTTCGAATAAGTAACTGTGACTCAAAAATTAGTTCAACAAACCAAATCCTTTGGATGTGTGAAAATTAAATTTTTAACAAGCTTAAACATGTGGGTTTTAAATTTCGAATTTGATTTTGAGAAAATTTGAGTGGGTGTTATTTAGACTTGTTAGAAATAGTATAAGGAGGTTGTATATAAAATTTGAAGTCATTTAATGGAGATTTGGACTGGTTTGAACAAGAATCGCAACTGAAAATCGTGGAAGAGCTTCGTCTACAAACGTTTGTATAAAGGTGTATAAAAGTGTATAATAGTGTATAAGATGTGTTTATACACTCATATACATATTATACAAGATTATACATAATTATAAAAAACTGACTTCGTCTTCTTCCTTGCGTCTTTTTCAAATTTAACTCAAATTTTTGCTCAAATCTACTCCAAATCACTTCAAATTAAATTTTGTACTCCTTTTGATATTTTCAATCAATTGGAACAACATCCAATCCAAACAACTAACAAAACTCAAAAAATCCTATTTTCGAAAGCAAAGCTTCGAATGGCCTTCAATGGTGGGACTTCTACTCTTCATTTTTTCTTACTTGCAACCAGGTAACACAGAGTAAGAAGCAACAATGGCGGACAGCCTTTGAAGCATACGTAGAAGAAGTGAGAAGAAGAGAGAGTGAAAACAATGGTTGTGAGAACACATATTTAACTCCATAGCTTTTAGAAGCAATGGTTGTGAGAACACATATTTAACTCCATAGCATTTAGAAGCAATGGTTGTAAGGACACAAGTTTAGAATTTGCTAGTGCTTTCAAAATATGTACAATATGGGCTAGGTTGGGTAAAACTTAAAAATATGGGCCATTTTTTGTTATGGTGTGAAGTCATGTGTATTTTTTATAATTCTCCAAGTTCTTTCAACCAGTGTTTTCTGGCCTTTTTTCCTTTTTATTATGTGAGGCACCATTGCTTTTAGAGTGTAGAGAGTATCAGAAAGAAATTTCTAAATCTCAATTTTCCTATACTTCTGTGCCTACTACTATTATCAAAATATAAAGCTATTTTTTAAAAAACATTCCCCATTACATTAGTGGCATTGTAAAATGACTGCTTAAATAAATAAGAATTTTATTAATCTCTGACCAAAAGAGTTTTTTTCTTTTTTCCAATGACTAGTCCCTGCTAAAGATTGAAGAGAAAAGATTAACGAATGCCTTTTTCTATAAATTCCCCTCCCCAGTGGTCCATCTCTTAGGGTAACAATTTCCAACCTAGCAATTAAGGAAAATTCACTGAACGGTTTGGACTCCAATGGCAAAAAATCTGGAAACTAACAGATGCACTCTCCATCCATGGATCTCTGTGGTCTGTTTCAACCTGCATTGATTACTATCTAGTAGTACAAAATTCAACAAATAACAAGGCTGCATATATGCTCAATCACTGACTAGGCCAAGAACCAACAAAAGTGCCAACGGATGAAATACGGGTACCACATATGCAAGTGAAGGCAAAAACTTGAAAGCAATAGTAAACAAAGCCCATCCGGTTAGATGCTAACCTTTTAGCAGCAAATACAAACACACCCCGTTAACACTTCAACACCATCCAATTCAGTAAGAAACTGCATTAATTGAACAAAAATGAAAATTATGCAAGGTAAAAGAGGATGGAAACAACAAAAGATGTGGACAAGAAATAACCTGATTAACAACTCTATCAGTAACACCAGTGTTTCATGCCCTCTATTTGGAGCGATAGAATCAAATTCATCAAAAAATAGAAGGCATGGTGCTGCTGCAGCTGCTTTTGAGAATATATCTCGTACCTAAAAAAATAATTAGCATGAACAATCCAAAAGCTCCAAGAAAAGCTAGAAACTAGGATGTAGGGGGTTGACAATTTGGTCTTCAGATAGCTATTAGATTTTCAGAACATTTATAAGGCTTTGACCAATCTATTATGGCGGAATAGCCTAAATAGCACTTATACTTGTGCCACTTTGTCATGCCGGTCCCCAAACTTAACAATTTGCCAATTGAATACTTACACTCCTTCAAACCGTGTATAATAAACGCTTTGAAGGAGTGTAAGTGTTCAATCGGCAAATTGTCAAGTGTTCGAGGCCGGGATGACAAAGTGGCACAAGTATAGGTGCCATTTAGGCCATTCTGCCATCTATTATAATGAAAACTTAAGTTTAGTTATTGTGTCCATGATTAGGAAAGACAAGGTTACTTGTCCAGTTTGTCCTTACTTGAACTCTAAGCAACAACCTTCTGCGAGGTGGGTTGGGATGGGGATGAGACATGAGAGCAAAAAGTTGAACCCGAGAAGATGATATCCAAATTCTGTCTTGATATTTAATTTATTTATTGATTTTTCCTTCTTCTTCCTACTTTATAGTTTTTTTTCCTGGGGGTGGGGGTGGGGTGGGTGGGGCGGTGGGGGGTTGGCATCATCTTGATAACAATACTAGATGAGGAAAGGCCCGTATACGGGCCCAACATTGTAATCTTAAAAATTATTTTTTGTCGGTGCTCAATTAACTTTTTGATAAATAAATCGATCATTGTTATATCTATTTAATAACTGATAGAAAATGAAATTGGGATCACAATTTACAATTAATTTATTTTAATAATTTACAAAATAAACTATAAATTATAACCTGATTAAGTTGCTCCAATTATTAACATAAAAAGACTATGTGCTATAATACTCATTTTAACATCAATGTCAAATATAAACATCAAATGTAAAATTGATTCACTAGTATTATTTCCCCACTATATTCGAATTTTTAATTATAGGGTTTTAATTTTTTCTTAATTAAGGATATAAGAGAAATATTTTTATTTTTTCTATAGATTTATCATATGTTAATTTTTATAATGAAATATATAAAATATTTTAAGACAATTTATAGATTGCTGAAAACTTATCATGGAAGAATGGAGTTCAAACCATATAAATCAAATTTTCACATCAATTAAGTACATAAGAGATAACCTCCTAGAATAGATGAACAAATATCATCACTTAAATTAACTTTAAGATTTAACAAATTATAGTTTTGTAAATTACTTTTGAATATAAAATTTTAGGTTTGAAATCGCCTTCAATAGTGTGAATACATGAAAACCTTTAATTTTATTTTTTAAATTGTGTTAAAATAGTATGGGTAAATATGAAAATCTTGTAAATATTTATCTATATTTCTTTTTTGTTGCTTTATTATTTAAAAATTAATTTACTTTTTCTGTGAAACTTTTAGTTGACTGAAACAAAAATTAATAATTTATCAAATGAGAAAAAATATTCAAAATGAGTATTTGCATGGAGTAACTCTATGCAAAAGTAGTCTTATCAACACTACATTTAAACTTTTAAAGGAGTGTTGTGGTCAAGGGAATGTGGGGTCCACGTATATCAAGAAGGAATCAATTTGCATTTAAGAAATGCAAATAATACAATAATTTTTTTCGAAATGACATATATGCCCTTGGTTGACCATCTTTCCTTTTCTGTATAATAGATGTGTTAAAATAGTATGGGTAAATATGAAAATCTTGTAAATATTTATCTATTATTTCTTTGTTGCTTTATTATTAAAAATAAATTTACTTTTTCTGTGAAAACTTTTAGTTGACTGAACAAAATTAATAATTTTAGCAAATTGAGAAAAAATATTCAAAATAGAGTATTTGCATGTAGTAACTCTATGCAAAAGTAGTTCTTATCAAACACTACATTTAAACTTTTAAGGAGTGTTGTGGTCAAGGGAATGTGGGGTCCACATATATCAAGAAGGAATCAATTTGCATTTGAAATGACATATACGCCCTTGGTTGACCATCTTTCCTTTTCTATAATAGAAATGTACTAGGAGAAGTGGAAAAGTTGTAAATTCACTTACAGCTTGCTCAGAAGCACCAATGTATTTATTCAGCAGCCAGGACCTTTGACTAGATAAATCTTAGTGAGCATTGCAGCAGCTGCAGCACCAACAATGTGTGTTTTGCCACAACCAGGGGGACCATACAACAGAATATTGGACCGCATCCTTAGAGGAGCTTGTGCAAATATATTTGGAAATTTGGATGGCACTCAATCATCTGACAGCAGCAAAACAGGAACTTGATATGCTGAACAAACTGATCCAAGCTAAAGTTTTTTTTTTTTTTTTTTTGATAAAGGTAACATAAGATCCAAG